GGGGGGGGAGCGCCATCACATGCACAAGGACTCTGGGGATGACGGCGACGACGTGTCGCACAGGACACTTTCGCTGCTTTGGGGCCTAAACACACACACACACACACACACAGGGCGTAAATCATGCGACGGAGCGCAACAACGCGGGCGTGGTCGCCGCACGCTAAGTGGTGTCTGATGTTTCCCCAGCAGCGCTGGGCGGGGCGGGGCGGGGCGGCGCGTGGTCGCTGTCGCTGTGGCGCCAACGCGTCGCCGAACCAAAACCCCTCGCGACGCTCCGCCACGCCCCAATCTGCTACCACCGCCCAACACCACTACTTCAGCCGGAACGGTCCCCGTAACTCTGTCAACTCCCCACGCCCCCTCCCGCTTGGACCAGACGGTCGCATCCGCATCGTCAGGTTGCATGCTGATGAAGGGCCTGTTCATAAAGGAACTCTCTATCCGCCAGACTGACCCGGAGCAGCGCCTGCGACTTCTCTATCAAGATGAGAATACTGACTTCCCCCAGCGATGCCGTTCGTCGCGGCCGGTCTGGTCCGGTCCGGTCCCGCTGCGCCTTTATGCCAATGCCGTGTTCTACGGCGGCCCTTGTCAGCCCGGCGTTCGCGCGGCCTTTCTGCGGGATGTCTTGATGTTCCCACAGGTTTTCGGGACCGGCCGCGCGGCTGGGCGGCAGCATATTGGGTCGCAGTTAGTGTGTTGTCCTGCACCTGTCACGCCGCGGGGCGGGGCGGGGCCGGGTCCAGACCGGCCCGACGGCTGTCTCCTAGTTTCGTGCGGCTACAGGAGCAGGAGACACGCGCGCGCGCGCGCCTCGGGATCGGACCACACAACGGCGGGGGAAAAGACGATTTTTGTTGTCGTTTTGGAAAAGGGATGCGGAGAAAGGCGCTGGACGCTGCGGGACTGCTGTGCGCTGTCGTCCGCCTGTCTGGGCGAGGACTGCGCGGCGCTGCAGCAAAGCCCCATCAGACGCACCCCCCTAGCCGCCCCGCCAGGCCGTCGTGGGGTCTCAGCCACTACAAGCCACACGGCCATGAATCAAGCCAGGGGAGTGACACCGTCCGGCTTAACTCGCACACACCTCAATCTTAATCTGGACACAAAGCCCGGCGTGGCTTGGCGGTGCGTGGCGAGGTCGGAGTGACCACCACCGCAGCTCCCCGCCAGCGCCAGGGGGCTGCGTCGCAGCCAGGGATCATCATGGGGATGGGGAGCTCTAAACGTAGGGCCCCGTGCGTTAACATTATGCACGGGGTAGCTGAGCGAAGTGCATTAAAATAACAGAAGACGTAAAAAATATAAAACAAAACTATAACGGATGAGGGTCCGCCTAGTAGGTTGGCAACTGATTCCCTGTCCCTAGGAGGGAAGAGA